GGAGGTTTGCAGTGTCTCGACTGACTAGATATGCACTGCTTGCCAGCCTTGAGGCGACGATGCAGAGGCAGCGGACGGCGCGACCAGATTGCAGCAAGACTGTTCGTCTCGGGGGTAAAAAAAAAAAACAAAAAACAAAAACCAAAGAAAAGAAACCACAATACGAGTTAATTTAAAAAATATCAGTTTGCCACTTACCTCAAAATGTTTCTATACAGGCCGGGCGTGCGTCGGGTCAATGCCTGTAACTCCAAGCACTTTGGCGAGCCACTGAGGCCGGCAGATCACTGAGGTCAGGAGATCGAGACCATCCTGGGCTAACATGGTTGAAAACCGCAATCTCTACTAAAAACACAAAAAAATTAGGACGGGGTGTGGGTGGTGGCCAGTGCTGTAGTTCCAGCATTATTCAGAGAGGAGGCTGAGGCAAGAGAATGGCATGAACCTGAGAGGCGGTGGTTGCAGTGAGCCGAGATCATGCCACTGCACTCCAGCCTGGGTGACAGTGCGAGACTCGGTCTCAAAAAAAAAAAAAAACTCTCTCTCTCTATATATATACACACACATACATATATCAAAATAACCTATAGTATTCTAATATGCACACACTTATACCCACCCCGAAATAATCTCAAAACAAAAATTTTTAGAGTAAAAAAAATTGCACAAAGTAAAATTTTACTAGCTGGGCATGGTGGCTCACATCTGTAATCCCAGCACTTTGGGAGGTCAATCCAAGGCAGATGGATCACTTGAGCTCAGGAATTCAAGACCAGCCTGGGCAACACGGCAAAACGTCACCTCTAGAAAAACTATAAAAAATACTCAGGCATGATGACAGGGCCTATACTCCCAGATGCTTGGGCGGCTGACGTGGGAAGATTGCTTGAGGCTGCAGTGAGCTGAGATTGTGCCACTGCACTCCAGTCTGGGCAACAGAGTGAGACCCTGTCTCAAAGAAAGTTAAATTTTACTTTATCCCCTTTGTAACAGTTCACTCAACTATCAAGTCACCAAAATACTAAAATATTAACCTCTTTAAAAAATATTCTTGGCCAGGCACAGTGGCTCACGCCTATAATCCCAGCACTTTGGGAGGCTGAGGCGGGCGGATCAAAAGGTTAGGAGTTCAAGACCAGCCTGACCAACATAGTGAAACCCTGTCTCTACTAAAAATACAAAAATTAGCTGGGCATGGTGGCAGGCACCTATAGTCCCAGCTACTCGGGAGGCTGAGGCAAGAGAATGGCATGAACCTGAGAGGCGGTGGTTGCAGTGAGCCAAGTCACATCACTGCACTCCAGCCTGGGCAACAGAGTGAGACTCCATCTCAAAAAAAAAAAAGTCTTGGCCGGGCATGGTGACTCACACCTGTAATCCCAGCACTCTCTGGGGCCGAGGTGGGTGGATCACCTGAGGTCTAGAGATGGAGACCAGCCTGGCCAACATGGTGAAACCCCAGCTCTACTAAAAATATGAAAATCAGTCAGGCAGGGTGGTGGGCACCTGTAATTCCAGCCACTAGAGAGGTTGAGGCAGGAGAAACACCTGAACTCAAGAGGCAGAGGTTGCAGTGAGCCACGATCACACCACTGCACTCCAGTCTAAGTGACAGAGTGAGACTCCATCTCAAAAAAAAAAAAATTCAGATCAGGACTCCCTAAACTCACAAAATACATGTGGAAATCTTCTCCACGGAGACCTGCTAGAAAATGGACATTATATAAATGATTAGTACACATTATATAAATGATTAAAGAGTTCCTGATAATTTTATGCCCATAACTGACGAGCATTGTTGACAAAGGGTTACAAAAAAGTCTCATGGGTTCCCTGCCTTCAAATGTGTAATCTTACTGAGTAAAGAATACCACCTGACTGGTCTTTCCTAAGTTCCTTGTGCATACATAACACGACAAAAGACCACATGAAAATCAGAAATCACATTCAAGACCAAAATAAATCAGGTTACAAGCAAATCTCTTAAAGTTAACTTCCGCCTCTTCTTTAAGACAAAACAGGTAGACATCTTTCAGTTATGGCCATTTTACGAGTTGAAAAATTATAAAGGTTCAATAGAACTCATTCAACAGTAACACTCACCACGCCACTGCAAGACTTTGTTTTCACATCCAGTTTCACCAACCCAAAACCTTCAACAAATAGAGAGCAAAAGAAACAAAATGATTATTTTGTATGAAAGATGCATAGCAATTGTTGACTATACATAAAAAACAAAAAGATTCCACATACTCAGAGGTGGATAAAAATGTGTTAATATACAATATTTAAATGAAATTGTTACAAATTCATCTTTTGTAAACTGGCTTATAAAGGGCAGAATTATCCCTATGCTGCTTTGTCTAGTTTTTTGGTAGCTGGTACACAAAAGAACGCTTTCAAACTATTCTTTTTTTTTTGAGACAGAGTCTCACTCTGCCGCCCAGGCTGGAGTGCAATGGCACGATCTCGGCTCACTGCAACCTCCGCCTCCCACGTTCCAGCGATTCTCCTGTCTCAGTCTCCCGAGTAGTTGGGACTACAGGTGCATGCCACCACACCCGGCTAATTTTTTGTATTTTTAGTAGAGATGGGGTTTCACCGTGTTAGCCAGGATGGTGTCGATCTCCTGACCTCATGATCTGCCCACCTCCGCCTCCGAAAGTGCTGGGATTACACACGTGAGCAAACACGCCCAGCCCCCAAACTATTCTTAAACTTAAATATTAGATTTAAAAATCATTCAATTTAAATCTCAGAATAGCTAATAACTTATCATGATATGGCTGGGTGCGGTGGCTCATGCCTGGAATCCTAGCACTTCAGGAAGTTAAGGCGGTGGATTACTTGAGATCAGGAGTTCAAAACCAGCCTGGCCAACATGGTGAAACCTCATCTCTACTAAAAATGCAAAAAAAAAAAAACCCAGGCATGGTGGTGCGTGCCTGTAATCCCAGTTGCCAGAGAGGCTGAGGCAGGAGAATTGCTGGAACCCAGGAGGCAGAGGCTACAGTGAGCCAAGACCACGCCACTGCACTCCAGCCTGGGCAACAGGGTGAGACTCTGTCTCCAAAAAACACAAAAACAAAAGCAAAACCAATTTATCATAATACAGCAATGGGGTATTTCCAACAATCTAAATAAAGGGGGGGATGGTATGGAACAAAATCTTTAAGAAAACTCAAATTTACCTGAAAAAGTTCATAACTCTGGAAAGTACTAGGAGTCACCACAAAAGCAAAACAGTAATATATCATAACTCTAGTCAACCAAGACCTAAGCTATAACCGAAAAAAATTAAAGCACAAGTCGCTTTTTCTTAAAGGCTCAAATCCTCTTAACTACAGTTTTAAAAAATTTTGGGAAATTGGGGGAGGGGGATGTAGATTGTAAAAGAACTATTTTCACAGAAGTTTAATGTAAGCATCTTAAGTTTCTAACAGAAGAATTAAAACAAGGCTGGACACAGTGGCTCATGCCTATAATGTAATCCAACCAGGCTTTGAGAGGCCACTGTGTTTACTGGGTAACACAGTGAGACGCCACCTCTACGAAAAATTAAAAAATTAGCCAAGTGTGGCAGAGTGTGCCTGTAGTCCCAGCTACTTGGGACTTGGGAGGCTGAGGAAAGATGATCGCTTGAGTCCAGGAGGTCCAGGCTGCAGTGAGGTATGATCGTGCCACTGCATCCAGCCTGGGCAACAGGCTCAAAAACATAAATAAGTCTAAATTTAAAGCAGCAAGATATTTACAATTTGCAATGATTAATCTGATTTCACTAAGCAACCCAAACATACATTTTCACTCTTTATCTAACACGTTTTAAAAATAAGGTTCTTACCAAATCCTTTGTTGAAAATATCTCTGGCAGCTTTGCCAAGGTCAGCATATGATGGAGGAATACACATTGCTGGTAGAAAAAAACATTCCAGTATTAATGTCTCTATTCTCCCATCTTCTATCCAAGAACTAGAGTATGACCCACTGCTGATATTAAAATTCAAGCAATCCCATTTGTTGGAATTATGTTTTTTATCTGGTCAGGAGCTACACTAAAACTATAACGACCTATAAAGGAGATACCACCAACGAATTATTTCTAAAATAGATAACCATGGTTATACAAACTTGGGAAATTCGTTCCAAAATAGAAAAACAGTCTATTACCTACAGCCTCACTTCCTAGGACTGGACAGGTACAAAGAAACAAGTATTTGTGTGCATGGATATTTATCTGCTAAAATTCACAGAGATGAGCTGACTGAACTAAATTAGATAAAATCAAAACCTAAGACTAGGCCCTGTCCCTGATATGTCGTTTAATATCTTCGCTGAGGTGAAAACCAACATCCTGGAGTGGGAAGAGAACTTAATACTCTGAGAATTTAAATATTGAAACTTTGAAAAAATACTGCCACCTGTGTTTCATTCAAATGTCTGTATCAACTAAATATCAAACGGCGCTTCAAACTTACTAATATGACTCTCAAGTCCTTAGCCAATGCTGTGCTGCTTAAGGGCAGGCAATCTGAGCTCCTTACACCAGCTCATTCATTCCACAAAGCACGTCCACGCCCTTAGGAGCACATGTAATGACCTTGTGCTCTCACAAGGACTGCTACTTCCTCTAGAAGAGTGACTGATCCCACCCTCCAAAGCGGAATCCCCAATTAATAACTTTTATTTCTGTACGTCAAAGACACGTACAAAAGCTGAAAGTCCATGGGGCCACAGACCAACTCCCCGGGCCTTGTTCCCCTATTTGAAATCCAGCAGCCCAGCCCCTCCTCGGCAGAGGTGGTCAGACGGTAAGGCGACCACCAAAAGCAGCCGAATTTCCAAGTCCTCGGAAAGACAGAGGGAAACAAACTGCGGGTTTCTGGTCGACAGGCTTCGACTCCCCGCCGCCCCATCCGGCAGAGATCCCTGCTCTACTTACGCCGCGCGCAAGTCTGTCCGTAGGTCGCCATGGCGAGGCCGTGGGAAGAGGGGAATCTGCGGGAGGGACAAGAAGTGCGGTCAGCTGGGGTCAAAGGGCCAAAGGGAGGTCCCGGGCAGAGAGGGGCGAGGGGCCGCGGGGCAGCGCGGCCATCTTAGGAAGCCAGGGCCGACCCCAAGTCCGGCGCAGGCCTCCCGCTTGGCCGAAGCGGCCTAGGCCCCTGGGTCGGCGTGAGGCGGGCGCGGCGGTACCTGGTGGTCTCCTGAGGGGGGCCGCAGCCACCGCTCCGCTAGCTGCTGAAGCCGCTCGTCACGCTCACGGTCCGGCTGCAGCTGCAGCGGCTGGAGGGCGAAGTGAAGGAGACACCGTTCCGCCCGCCGCAACCCTGTCCTCTCCCAGCCAGGACCCCGCCGCTGCCCCCGGGGCTGTCCGCCGCGCCTGTGCCCGCAGCGCAGCCCGCTGCCAACTCCAACCTGCTCCGGAGCGGCCACGTGGACCGACAGCGCCACGGTCCTGCAGGTGGGCTGCCTCGGTCCGTCGATGGGGATCGGGAAGGCAGAAGCTGCTGGGCCTTGAATCAGGCAGCTATCCGGGCAGCCTCAGAGGCGAGGGGGCGGGGAACGGCGAAGGCAGCGCGCTGCCGCCCGCCCGGGAGGGGGATGGGGCGGAGGCCCCGCGCGAACGCGTCACGGACGGGGCGGGGCGTCGGCGCGTGGCCGGGGCGATAGGGCGCGGCTGCGCACCACCGGGGTCACGTACGTCTCTCCTACTGCCCTTACACGCTGGTGCGGGTCCGCCCCAGAAACAAACCCCTGCATAGGGCGCCTGCGGGGAGTCAGCTGAGCGTTACCCACGTCCACCCTAAGCTAGCGCAGCCTGCGCTTCTGAGGGACAGCTTCTCTTTCCCAACCCAGTGAGAACGAGTGGGACACAGGGGCGCCACCTCCAGCCCCTCGCGCTCTTCTGCCCTCTTTTCCCACCTTGGTGTGACTGCCTTGCTGTGCCGGGCTGTGTGCCTGAGAGGTTTTTCGGGACTGCCTCTCCCTGAACAAATGTGAGCAGGTCCCAGCGTGCCCCACCCATTTCCACTCCGCCTTAGGCTTTCTCTTCCGCGGCTCCTCCCCACTCAGGCATGGCACTGCCTCACACCCGCACGGAGCCGGAGCTTGGCGAGACAAGCCCGCTCCGGGTCCAACTTCCTCTGGATTATGGGCCTGGAGAAAATGTGGTATCATCCTGAGCAGGCGTTAGAATGCTGCACACCCAAGTTCCCCGGGTGTGCAGGAAGGGTGACAGAGCTGTTAGATAAAATGTTAGATAAACTATAGGAAGCCGTTAGTTTGGACTGAGCTCCTGCATTAGGCGCATCAAACCAAACCAAAATGGGGTGGTTCATGCTGAAGCTCCAAACTACCACGCCAAAGCTAGGATATTTGCAAATCAGGAGAGAAACAGATGCTAACCAGATCCCCAAACAGGCCGGGCGCGGTGGCTCACATCTGAAATACCAGCACTTTTGGATGCCAAGGTGGGCGGATCGCCTGAGCTCAGGAGTTCCAGACCAGCTTAGGCACAGTGATACCCTGTCTCTACCAAAAAAAAAAAAAAAAAAAATGCCGGGCGTGGTGGTAGGCGCCTGTAGTCCCAGCTCCTTGGGAAGCTGAGGAGGGAGGATTGCTTGAGCCTGGGAGGTTGAGGCTGTAGTAAGGTTAGATGGGGCCACTACTGCACTCCAGCCTGCCCACTGGAGCAAGACCCTGTCTCAAACAAAAATCCCCAAACAGGCCAGTTTTAGCTGACATAAAGAAGTCCCATGTTGTTTAACCTTTACAAGAAAAGTGACTTTCTACCGACTAATCCACGTTTTGTTTCTGCTTTCCTTGGCCCTTTTCTGTCTGTAATATCAACTTCCTCTTCTCATTGGAACATTCATTCCATTTTATAGAATGAAGCGTTGCCCAATTGTAGAATTGGAACTAAAAGCCAATTAAGATGTGTAAACTAAATTTGTTGTAATTTTTTCTTTTAACAGAACCAAAGGAAGAAAAAAAAATGAGCAGTCTAATGATATAGAGCAGTCATCTATCTCAGTAATTTAGCCAGTCTACCTCAGTTTTTGTTTTGTTTTTGGTTTTTTGGGGTTTTTTTTTTTTTTTGGTTTGGTTTTTGTTTTTGAGATGGAGTCTCGCTCTGTCACCCAGGCTGGAGTGCAGTGGTGCTCTCTCGGCTCACTGCAAGCTCTGCCTCCGGGGTTCACGCCATTCTCCTGCCTCAGCCTCTCAAGTAGCTGGGATTACAGACACACGTCACCACGCCCAGCTGTTTTTTGTATTTTTAGTAGAGATGAGGTTTCACCGTGTTAGCCAGTATGGTCTCGATCTCCTGACCTTGTGATCTGCCTGCCGCAGCCTTCCAGGGTGCTGGGATTACAGGCGTGAGCCACCGCACTCGGCCTACCTCAGTTTTTTAATTATAAAATGACAAATGAAACGAAGTGATCTTTAGTAGCTATCAGCCATAGTCTCTGAGCAAAGCCTTTTCCCCCTTGACTTTCTCTAGCTCTGAAAGCGATGTCTGCTCAAATGCTCTCAAGGTTCTACCCTCCTCCGAAACCAGAAAAGGATGGCTAGATGGGCTTCCACAGTTCAAAACCCAGGTTGAAGCTGCAGCCTGGAAGATTTCCCTCCCATGAGCAAGCCCAGCCAGCTGTCTTGCCTGGTCATGACTGGGCTTACTTATGTTGCAAAGGTTAGCAGAATTTACTTCTAGGAGATCAGTCACCAGAAGCCCCCATTCATTCCTTCATTCGAGCTCAGGTTGGTTTGCAATCATTTTGGCTCTTCTGGGAAATGGTCTGGTATGTTTGATGTTATTGTGAGGCTAATAACAAAGACCGGCATTTCCATCCTAACTGCACCACAGCACACTACCTCTCCGAAACACCCAGTCTGATAAATGAGTCACCTCCACTACCTGCAGCAGGGCTTATTCACAGTGTGAATTATCTGTAGCAATTTGTAGCCCCCTGAACTTCACTTTCTCTGAGGCTTCACCTTCTGCAAACCCAAGGAATGTACACAATACCTAAGGACCAGGGGAAGAAGATCTGTGGCCAAACAGGGGAATAATGGCAGTATTTTCCAGAGCTGGATTTAGTAAATAAATCTGAGTGCTTACATCCAAAGTCCTTTAGACCAAAGCTGCATTAGTAGGCAGTTACTACCTACCACAAGCAACTACTTTGTGTCATCCACGGGGTAAGCAAAGTCCATTGAGACACAGTCCCTACTCTCAAGGCACTTACAGTCAAGTGTGTGTAAAGGTGTCAAGAACAAGGGAAGGTCCAAAATTTTACCCTACTTGCACACTAACAAGTTAGCCTGCCATAGTTTCAGAGGCTCACAGATGCTAGCAGAAGACATGAGACGTGTGGGTCAAGGACAAAAGACTCTCTTACCTGTGACACAGCTGGCAGCATAAGCTTCGTGTTTTGCCTCAATTTCTGCTGTCCTCTGCATCCCTCAGGAGTGATGCAGAGCAGGTTAGGTGGATGCTGTGCACACCATGCATTGGTGTCACAGCCAAGGAACCCTAAGCTTATAAAACCACCTGTCTTAGAAGGAGCTGCTAACAAATCTGCCCAACCTTCATCCTATGAAAGGAAAGTATCTTGGGCCCCTAAGATCATTAAGCTAAAGGGAAAAGTCAAGCTGGGAATTGCTTAGGGCAGACCTGCCTCGCATTCTGTTCAAAGTCATCCTTCCGCTCACTGAGATAAATGCATATCTGATTGCCTTCTTTGGAGAGGCTAATCAGAAACTCAGTGCAACCATTTGTCTCTCACCTACCTGTGACCTGGAGGCCCTCTCCCCACTTTGAGTTGTCCTGCCTTTCCTGGCCACTTTGAGTTGTCCTGCCTTTCTTGACCGAACCAATGTTCATTTTACGTATGTTGATTGATGTCTCATATCTCCCTAAAATGTATAAAACCAAACTGTGCTCTGACCACCTTGGTTACACGTCATCAAGACCTCCTGAGGCTGTGTCAAGGTTAAGTGTCCTCAACCTTGGCAAAATAAACTTTTTTTTTTTTTTTCTTTTTAAGACTGAGTTTCGCTCTTGCCGCCCAGGCTGCAGTGCAATGGTGCGATCTCTGCTCTCTGCAAACTCTGTCTCCTGGGTTCAAGCGATTTTCCAGCCTCAGCCTCCTGAGTAGCTGGGATTACAGGCGCGCCACCACCACGCCCGGCTAATTTTTGTATTTTTAGTAGAGACAGGGTTTTACCATGTTGGCCAGGTTGCTTTCGAACTCCTGACCTCAGGTGATCTGCCCGCTTTGGCCTCTCAAAGTGCTGGGATTACAGGCATGAGCCACCACGCCTGGCAATTTTTTTTTTTTTGAGACAGAGGAGATAGAGTTTCACTCTTTTGCCCACACTGGAGTGAAGTGGCACAATCTCAACTCACTGCACCCTCCGTCTACCAGGTTCAAGTGATTCTCCTGCGTCAGCCTCCCAAGTAGCTGGGATTACAGGCGCCTGCCATCATACCCAGCTGATTTCTGTATTTTTAGTAGAGATGGGGTTTCACCATGTTGGCTAGACTGGTCTCGAACTCCTGACCTCAGGTGATCCACCCACATCGGCCTCCCAAAGTTCTAGGATTGTAAGCGTGAGCTACTGTGCCTGACCTGGCAAAATAAACTTTCTAAATTCTCAAATTTCTCAAATTTTCAGGGTTCACAATCCCTGAGGGGGAGATTATTATACTGCTCAGGAAATAAAATCTGTTTTCTGCCCCAGGGAGAGATATTATCTTCCCAGGCTGTTTGCTAAGTAAACATCCTGGAAAGATAGTCTGAGACAAAAGCTGCCATAAGATGGGTAGAAACACCATGGAGAATTGGCCCCAACAAAGGATGGGGAATGGGAAAGACAAGCTCAAGATGTCACAAGTACAGTTTTTTTTTGGGGGAGCAGGGTCTTGCTATATTGCCCAGGCTGGTCTTGAACTCCTGACCTCAAGCAATCCTCCCATTTCAGCCTCCCAAGTAGCTGGATCACAAGTGTGAGCCACCACACTCGGCTTCTGCAAGTACAGTTTTAAGATGTAAATACAGAGAACCGTGGGCACAGTCAGATGGAGGAGCTACTTGCACTGAAGTTTGAAAGCAGGACTTAACAAAATTAGAAAGCCAACAGATGGAGGATGGGAAGGCAAAATTCTAGAAAGAGGATGTGCAAAATCATAGGAGTGCTTGAAGTGGCAAGAATTGTTTGGAAACCACGTATTATTTTTTTGCTTTTGATTTGCTTTTGTTTTTGTTTTTGTCTGAGACAGAGTCCCGCTCTGTCACCCAGACTGGAGTGCAGTAGCACAATCTTGGCTCACTGCAATCTCTGCCTCCCGAGTTTAAGCAATTCTCCTGCCTCAGCTTCCTGAGTAGCTGGGATTACAAGCACGTGTCACCACACCCGGCTAATTTTTGTATTTTTAGTAGAGATGGGGTTTCGCCATGTTGGCCAGGCTGGTCTCAAACTCCTGACCTCGGGTGATCTGCCCGCCTTGGCCTCCCAAAGTGCTGGAATTACAGGTGTGAGCCACTGCACCCGGCTAGTTTTCTTTTTGTTTGTTTGTTTTTGAGACAGGGTCCCCCTGCATTGCCCAGGCTGTTCTCAAACTCCCAAGCAATTCTCCTGCCTCAGCCTCATGAGTAGCTGGGACTACAGGTGCGTACCACAGGGCCTGGGGGAAACCACAAGTCATTAAGTAAAGCTGGAACAAGCTATCGAAAAAGTTGAGAAATTAGACTAAAGATGTTGGTTGGAGCCAAATACTGAAGGTCCTGAAAGCAGCAAGTGAGGACAAGTCTAGGGTAGCTGGGAGCAACATTTCTGATTTGAGCAATGGGGAGGACAAAGGTTCCAGCCACTGTGGGAAGGTCTGCAGGAAGAGGGGCAGGTGTGAGGGTGAAGACTATGATTCCATTTTGGATGAATATGAGAAGCCAGGTCCACATTGCAATGCAGTTGTCCAATAGGCAGTTATGAAGCTTTGGAGAGATGTCTGGCTCAGAAGCATGGGTGTAAAAGTTAGTTTTAATTATGACTAACTATGGGTGTGGTTTAAGTCAGTGAGATATGGGATAGGAATAAAGACACTAACAGCCTAAAGGACGAGGCCATGGGCATTAGTCTTCTTTTTTTTTTGAGACAGTATCACTCTGTCACCCAGGCTGGAGTGCAGTGGTATGTTCTTGGCTCACTGCAATCTCTGCCTCAGCCTCCCGAGTAGCTGGGACTACAGGCATGTGCCACCATACCCGGCTAATTTTTTTGTATTTTTAGTAGAGCCAGGGTTTCACTATGTTCTCCAGGCTGGTCTTGAACTCCTGACCTTGTGATCCAGCTGCCTTGGACTTCCGAAGTGCGGGGATTACAGGTAGGAGCCACCGCACCCTGCCAGGAGCATTAGTCTTTTAGGGGCAAGAAGCAGAGGAGGAGCTAATGAAGAGAACTGACAAAAACTAGCCAGGAGGATAATAAAAAGAGAACTCAGGAGGAGCACTTCTGTGGAAACCAGAAGAAGAGAGCACTGGGTAGAGAAGGGAGCGCTCAACAGTGTCACAAACTGAGGAGAGGTCAAGTGAGGCAGGGGCAGAGAGCATTAGGGCCGGACGCAGTGGCTCACACCAATAATCCCAGCACTTTGGGAGGCCAAGGCAGGAAGATCACTTGAGCCCAGGAGTTTGAGACCAGCCTGGGCAACATGGCAAGATCTCATTTCTGCAAAAACAGAAAATTAGCTGGGCACAGTGGTGTGTGCCTGTAGTCCCAGCTACTCGGGAGGTTGAGGTGGGAAGGATCGCTTGATCCCAGGAGTTTGAGGTCACAGTGAGCTATGGTTGTGCCATTGCACTCCAGCCTGGGCGAGAAAGCAAAACCTTGTATTCAATAATAATAATAAATAAAAGAAATAGTAGCATTAGCTGCTATTACTGTGTAACAAATTGCCCCCAAATTTAATGGCCTAAAACAAGCATTCTATTATCTGAAAGTTTCTGTGGGTCAAAAATTAGGGACTGGCTTATCTGGGTGGTTCTGGCTTGGGGCCCCTCAGGGGGTTGCAGTTAAGATGCTGGCTGGGGCTGCAATCATCTGAAGGGTTAACGGCACTCAAGGACCTGCTTTTAGGATGGCACGCTCATGTGGCTTTTGGCAGGAGGCCTCAGTTCCTTGCTATGTGAGCTTCTCCATGTGGCGTCTTGGGTGTCCTTGTGACATGGCCGCTGGCTTCTCTCAGAGCAAGTGATCTGAGAGAGACAATGAAGCCACAATGTCTTATATGATCCAGCCTCAGAAATCACACTATCATTTCTGCCTTATTCTGTTTGTTAGAAGTGAGTTAGTAAGACCAGACCACACTCAAGAGGAGGGAAATTAGGCTCTCTCTCTTGAAAGGAGTGTCAAAGAATTTGTGGATATTCTTTAAATCCCCACAGCCTATCTTTTGTTTGTTTTTTTTTTGTTTGTTTTTTGAGATGGAGTCTCGCCCTGTCGCCCAGGCTGGAGTATGGTGGCGCAATCTCACTGCAACCTCCGCCTCCTGGGTTCAAGCAGTTCTCCGCCCTCAGCCTCCTGAGTAGCTGGGATTACAGGCACCCGCCACCATGCCCTACTAATTTTTTGTATTTTTAGTAGAGATGGGGTTTCACCATCTTGGCCAGGCTGGTCTTGAACTCCTGACCT